TTCTGGCCGACCTAAGAATTAAACTGACAAGAGGCAGATTAAAAGGAGAAATTAAGTTGAACTTTAAGCATACGGGGAATCTGCATAAACATGAGATTCCAAAGACAGCACAGCAAAATGAGGTATGTATGTCACCCTGAACTAAGGAGAGTGGGTAGGAATTCAGGACTTCAAAGGGAAGAAGAGCAATCCACAGGAATATGAGAAAGAACAGGCGTTTGGCAAACAGATGTTTGATGGGCCATCGAGAACAAGGGAACAGAGAGGACTTTGAGCAGAGAAGCCTGTCTACCACCTCTACTCGTATTACACTATAGGTTTCTCTGGCGACAGCTTCCTGCCTGAAGCCGATTCTCTATCAAATCCTTTCAGACAACTGGGGGGAAAGAGAAAGGCCAAAGTTTCTTCCTGAGTCTTTTGGGCCTCGGTTGTTTTTAGCTCCAAATAATCCACATACAAAAGTGGCACATCTTGAGGTGGCAAATTTTGCTCCCCTACACAAGTAACAATCTTATTTAGCACCTAGTATGTGAAAGGCTTTCTCCTGGGCATGGTAACAGATGGAAAGCTTTATGAACCACAGTATCATCTCCAGCTAACTCAGATGCTAATATGTGGCTTATTTTGCAGTTAGGCATCAACAATGTGGGTGAAAGTACATTGTTTATTGAGATAATTTTTCTTTCATATATTTAGGAACCCACAAAAGTCACTGTAAATAAATGAGTGCATAATGAGGTGTGACAAAACTAAGAAGGGAAGGAATCAACACTTGGAGGGCCTACTGTGTGCCAGGCACCACATGTTTGCTAATTTATTTAACCCTCAATCCAATAAAGTAGAAGTTATCCTAAATTTAATTCCAATTAAGCATAAGAATGTCAAAACTACTTGTCGAAACTCAAAAACCTAGTACACAGTGGAGCAAACATTAGATGAAAATCCAGGTCCACATCAGAGCCCACATTCTTTCCACTGGGCATTCCTTTGACAAGGCAATTGTAACAAAATACCACAAACTAAGTGGCTTAAATAATAGAAATTTATTGTCTCACAGGCCTGGAGGCAACAAGTCCAAGGGTGTCATCAGGGTTGGTTCCTTCAGAGAGCTATGAGGGAGCATCTGTTCCTGGCCTCTTTTAGCTTCTGGTGATGTGCCAGCAGTCTGGCATAACTTGGCTTGTGGCAACTTAACTCCCATCTTCACATGGCATTCTCCATGCATGTGGGCCTGGGCCTGTGCCTTCACTTGGTTTTCTTATTATAAGGTTATTGGATCAGGAGCCCATCCCACTCTACTAGGACTACATGTGTAACAACCCTGTTTCCAAATAAGGTCACATTCTGAGACTCTGGAAATGAGAACTTCAATGTAAATTTTGGGGGGACACAATTCAACCCATAACACTATGTATCCTGAAATAACTTCCCATGTAGTTTAAAAAAAAAAGCCTAAATTGTAAAAGGTTGTCTTTGGAATTGCACTCCTAGTATCCAGTTTTGCAGAAGTTATCAGGAGTCCCCTTCCCACAAAATAAGTTCCTATCTTGTGACTTACCCATCCATGCAAAATGCATGTGATAATCTCCCCATCAGGTTTCCCTCCATCAGAGGGGAAATAAAGCTGAACTTAGTAAGATTCAATTATAAGCATGATTTATAGGTAGATAAGGTTTACTGCATCTTCAACCATTGGTTATTTTATCTGTGCCCCAAACACCTACGTATTTATACTATAGGGTCTGAGCTGGTTAACATGCTTCACAGTCATTTGCAAGTTCTATATATGCTTGTTATGTATGCTATATAAGCACTTTTCCTTGAACTGCACAGTTGCACTTCATTCAGATATCTCCTCAGTTATCACCACCTTAGAGATGTTTTCCTCACCACTCATTTGTAAATGGCTTGGTCCCTCACTATCCTGTAGGCACACTTCTTTTTTCTTCACAGTACTTGTCACTTCTTGACATGATTTGTTTTTGTTTACTATTTCCCCTACTAGAATGTAAGCTCCATAAAAGCAACTTTTCCTTGTTTTGTTCACTGCTATATTTCCATGATCTAGAAGAGTGCTTGGCACATGGTATGCAGCCAGAAAGTGTTTGCTAAAAGGTAAATAAATATCTGAACCTCTCCTGATGAACATACAAACTCCTGAATGGCAGGGGTCAAGTTTGCTAATTCCTTTTATCTACCAACTTTATCTGGCTCTACCAGGAGAACTAAGAAAAACACAACCAGCTAGAATGCGAATTACCTGAACAGTTACCCAGTCTCTTCCTCCGACTCCTACCTGTCCTCACCAGGAGAGGAGGAAAGTTATTTCATAGTTTTGTGGACCAAAGGGCCCAGTCTACACAATTAAACTTCACCAGCACAGACTTGGTGACCGAGGTCCCTGTACTTCATCCATGACACTCAAACAGGCACAGATTTCTCACCTCAGAACATTTTATCACAGTCTCTGTATATGGCTACATCCAGTGTGTACTTGCCATCTTTTCTCTAAAGTGGCCTTTGTGTAGTGCCCTTGTGCTAAACAAAAAGGGACAACTAATCTCACTGTGACGGTATATTTGATTTTCAATCTGTCTTCAGAAATATGTTTAGTTCAAGTCTAGAAACGGTTTTAAATATAGAGACAAATCTGGATTATTCTCATCATGCACCTCGATTCTTATACATGAGGTAATTGTTTTAGGGGGAAAATGTTGTGAAACTCTATGTCATGAGCAACCAAACATATACTATAAACGTGTTCCAGATGATGTTAGAAAACTGTATCTTGATTGATCAAAAGTATACATAAATGAGAAATAAAATTTGGTGAGTAGCTTTCTACTGGTCTTTAAGCCATATAGTTGATATTCTTTTATTTCTTTATAAATACCACATAACTTGTAACCCAACAAGCATTTACTGACATTATTAAAAATAACAGTGCCCAGCTATTGAGGTATTCTTATGCATATTTTAGGGAAGAAGAACTCCAATATATTTAATAACTAGCCCAAGGTCACAGAGTAAGAGGCTGAGCTGAAACTACCTACCCTGTCTTCTCTTTTCACTTATATTAACCATATGGAAACCAAATACTCAGACGGCTCTGGAGTGAACTTTTCTAAAAAAACAGAACAACTTAAAACCAAACTACTATATGAATATCAAATAAATAGGCCTAAGCATAACAGATGGACTGACTGTTGGCTATTCTGAATTCTACATTTCTCTGTATCTGTCAAGACTCTATACAAAAATTTTGTGATAGCAACATCATTATCCCCAATGTGATGTCAATATTTGGCATAACTTGGAATCTTCAAAGTAGAGTTGGAGTTTGAACAAAGTTGGAGTTCAAATACTGTGGCATGTTAGTAAATCTAGAATGTTTGACTACATATTTATGTTATAAACGAATTTTTTTTAATGTAGTATGTCATCTCTGAACTTCAATTTCTTCATATAAATGGGGATAATATTTACCATGTAGAATTATTGTAAGGATGAAATGAGGTAATATATGTAAAAAGCTCCTAGCACAGTATCTATTGCCAGCAAAGTTAAAACTGGAAGGATGGAGGGAGTCTAGTAACCATAATGTTGCTCATGTAATTATAGATTAATGATACCAAAATTTTTTTAAAAAGCAAAAAAAAACCCAAAAATCTGGAAGGAAAAGGAAACAGACCATCTGGCCTCTCTACTATTACATACGGAGGCAATGAGGCTAAGAATCCTGGTCTGACATTACTCAACAATATGTAGCAAAACCCAGATAGGTGTGTTCTAAATTCAGTGGGCTTTCCACTACACCAGCAGTTCTCAAAGACTGGTCCAGAGAACTCCCACCCCTAGAGCCCCCAAGACCCTTCCAGGGGCTCCATGAGGTCAAAATTCCATTACAATACTAAACTATTAGTTTCCTTTTTCACTTTTATTCTCATGAGCATAGGTGGAATTTTCCCAGAAATTACATGATGTGTGATGTCATTCTCTGAACGCTAATGAAATGTGTGCTTGTATATTATGCCTTCTGGAATTTTCTGAGGCAAGAGATCCAAGACTGTTTCTCAAAGTGTGGGACACGGATCCCTTGGGGTTTCTGAGAATCTTGTAAGTCTGACATCAAAATCATTTTCATAAGAATTCTCAATGTTATTTGCTTTTTTCACTGTGTTGACATTTGTACTGATGGTGCAAAAGCAAGGTTGGGGGTAGGAAGGATGGGTGGATAGAACTGCTACCGTGGCACTAATCAAGGCAGTGCCACCAGACTGTTGTACTGGTACCATGTTCCCCCCCACGCCCATGCACTTGCAATAAAAAATAAAACGTCAGTTTCCCTTACAATGCCCTTAACGAAGAAAATATTAATTTTAATAGTCCTTAAGTATTCATCATTTTAATAGTACATATATCAAAATGAAAAGTACATATAAAACACTTATACATACTAAAGTACCATGGTTGCCTTGAGTAAAAGCATTTGTAAGAATGTTTGAGGTGCACACTGAACCTTTTTTCATTGAACATTTTACTGAAAAGAATGCCGAACATTTATTGAAACTTGGATATTTGGAAGACATACTTTTAAAAAACAAACTTAGGCAAAACCACAATGAAGGCATCACATCACACCAGTCAGAATGGCCGCCATCCAAAAGACAAGAAACATGTGCTGAAGAGGATGCGGGGAAAAGGGAGCCCTCCTTACAGTGCAGGAGGGGATGTAAACTGAGGCAGCTTCTATGGGCAGCAGTATGGAGAGTTCTGAAGAAACGAAGAAATACCATACTTTGCCGCCCAGCCTGGGAGAGTTCCTGCGACGCTGCGCATGCGCGGGAGGTGCACGCGCTGACGAAATGTAATTGCTAGCTTTGACCTCACTCCCGTTATATCTGGACTTGCCGGAAGAGTGCCCCACGTCACACTTCCGGAGAGGATTCCCAGCGCTCCGCCTCAGACCTTAATGCTCCGGAAGACCAGCGTGCAGACGGGTCTCAAAGCCTCAGAGCGCGATTGTGCAGGAACGTTGGCGTCCTTGAGCGCTTCGGTCGCAGTCGATTGGCGGGAGCGACAGGAGGGCGGCAGCTCGCCCCGCCTTCGGTGCCGTCTGTCAGGCCACCACCGCTCCACTGTCCACCACCTCTTCTCACCGGAAAGGGAGGGCGCCGGGGGTCCCTGCGCGTCAGTCCTGAGGACGCCGGGCGTGGCACCACCGCGCGATCTTGACCTCAGGCGCGGTCCGGCGCGCGATTGGCAGGCAGGCATGTGGCGCGCTCTGGCACGAGCTCGGGCTATTGGGCGCGCGGCGCCGGTAGGCGGAGCCTGGAAGCGAGGTCTTAAGGCCGCGGAGCAGGAGTGCGCTGACAGCCAGCGCCTGAGGTACGGAGGGAGTCAGGATTTGTTTACGGCTGTTGTTGGAAGTGGGGCCGTCGGGGCGGGACCTGCGGAAGCGCGCGGACGGACGGCGCCGAGGTTAACGGGAGGATGGGATCGGGAGACGGGGCTGTTGGGGCCGGAGTGTGGCGGGGACCCGGAGGATGGGTGGGGGGCGCCCCGGGCCGCACGCTGAGCTCTCCGCCCGCTCGGCCTCAGACCCCCGGGATCCCCGAGACGCGCCAGGACAATGCCGGAGATCGACACCAGCCACTTGGACGAGCAGCAGGTGCAGCTGCTGGCGGAGATGTGCATCGTCATCGACGAGCACGACCACAATATTGGGACCGACAGCAAAAAGAACTGCCATCTGAACGAGAATATCGAGAGAGGTGCGGCCGGGCGCCCGAGCGTCTCGAGTGGGGCAGGGGCGCCGCTGGAGAGGCGGGGACCCTGCCCTGGTGACCGTGCTTCCCGCTTGCAGGGCTGCTGCACCGCGCCTTCAGCGTGTTTCTGTTCAACACCGAGGACAAGCTGCTACTGCAGCAGAGGTCGGACACCAAGATTACCTTCCCAGGTCAGGGCCCGCGGTGGCGTTGGGCGGGGGGGGCTGGTTTGCGGCCTGGCGGGGAGGGAAACCTGACTCCATCCCCGTTCCGCAGAAGAGCAGCCGACGCCGTTACCAGGCCGAGTGACACTATTGTAGCTACTTTGCACGTGTCAGGAGTCCCGCTGCTTTTTCGTTTGAAACGTTAACCTGCGGCCGTGTTACCTTTTTCCAGGTTGCTTTACCAACACCTGTTGCAGTCATCCTTTAAGTAATCCCAGAGAGCTTGAAGAAAAGGATGCTATTGGAGTAAAACGAGCGGCCCAGAGGCGGTTAAAGGATGAATTAGGAATTCCCATGGAGGAGGTAACTGGCTTGACTGCGCAACCTAGTAAGCCGAAATCTTCCCTGGAAGTCTAAACGTACAATTTTAAATTCAAGTGGAAGTGTTCGCGGTGCAACCTCGAGTTACTGGCCTCAAAAACCACCTTGAGTAAAGATGATTTAAATTTTGATTTTTCGGTAATATCAGAGTTTTACCTCAGTGCAGAAATAGATTGATCTGTTAACCAGTACGTAAATTATTTTTATAATTGATCACATCAAAGATGCTTATTTTCTTGTGGAAATCTGTAGGAATGTGAACTACAAATCTGTTGAGTGAACCATCTTTTCCTGAATTGCCCCCTATAAAACCTCTTCTCATCTAGCTGAAGTGGTATTTCTCTCTACCAAAAAGTAATATTAAGATCTTCTTGTTTTAGTGGGTTTTAAATTATTTTGATAAAATCAAGTTATATTTTTGGTCCTATGTAAATAGTCTCTCAAACGGGTAGAGAAACGGGTCATACTTAACCACTGTATTCAAGGTAACAGTCTCTCAAAACAGTAGTATTTCCATACATCAATAGTATAGTTGTTTTCAAGGTGTTACTGAAATGTGGTGGGTCAGTTTAGGTTACTTTTTTTATTGTTGATGTTATTTTCATTCTAGGTTCCTCCAGAAGACATTAATTACCTAACCCGAATTCACTACAAAGCTCAATCTGATAGCACCTGGGGAGAACATGAAATTGATTATATCTTGTTTGTGAGGAAGAATGTAACTCTGGATCCAAACCCCAATGAGATTAAAAGCTACTGCTACGTGTCAAAAGAAGAACTGGAAGAGCTCCTGAAAAAGGCAGCCAGTGGTGAAGTTAAGATAACTCCATGGTTTCAAATTATCGCAGAAACTTTTCTCTTTACGTGGTGGGGTGACCTGAATCATTTGAATCAGTTTGTTGACCATGAAAAAATACATAGAATGTAGTAAATGTGGAGATGAATGATGAATACTAAAAAACTTCCAAGTGAACTTAAATTTTTTTTTAAATCTGGCTCTCCATTAGAATTCTCATTTGAAACAATACTTTACAACCAGTGTTTGTGTGGGAAATAGTCACTTCTTAACTGTGTATCACACACCCTATATATGTGCACTGCTATAGACATTTATGAGATTGTAAATAAGAGCAAATAATTTAACCTGTCTAAACATAGTCCTGACATGTTTTACAAGTCAATGAAGCTCTTCATTTTTGATATGTGATAAGCATTTTCAGAAAATAGAGCATTTTGCTGTTTGCCAGGTGCTCTCTATATATATCATCATGGTCCAGAAAAACCTGCAATGGAAACTGCTTAGCTACTTAAAAACAGTCCAAATTAACTTCACATAGTAACAGAAAACTAGTAGAGCAGGTTCAAGGGAAGTTAAATGGTATATATTCTAATTTCTGTCATTCTAAGTTGATTTTGTGGTTTGGTAATTAGACAGGTTAGGTTAAATCTTTTAAATGGTCTTAAGCAATTAGTAAAGTCTGTGTTTTCAGAATTACAGGCTCTTTGGAAAACAGGTCATACTTAACCACCATGTTTCCTAATCTTGGCTCTGTTGACATTTGGGCTGGATAATTCTCTGTTTCGGGGTTTCTCCTGCGCAGTGGAGGCTGTTTGACACAATCCCTAGATTCCACCCACCAAATGCCAATCCCCCATGACAGCCACAACACACCAGGCCAAAGGTCTCCTGCAGGGCAGTCACCCCCAGTTTAGAACCACTGTTTACAACTCAGGCCATACTGTAGGGGGGAAAATTCACAGAAAAGCTAATATTCATGTTAAACATGGAATATGTATGTGTATGTTAATAAGCTGTACCTTGACTAATGCACTTTTTAAAACTCTTGCCACAGATTTCTCAAGATTTGCCACCTTACAGTAGCTATGTTACCCTTGAATGCTACACTATAATAACCAAGAAAAAGATTAAAAATTGTTTCTTACAAAGTTAAAAGGCTTTATGCTTATAAATTCAGTAGAGAAATCTGTTTCTTAAGAACAGTTAATTTCAGGCAGGACTGTAGAGCAAGTATTTTATTGTATTGCAAAACCAATTTTAATACTGTTTAGTTTGTTGAAATGTTAATAGTAGATTAACCTGCCAACGTAGCTTAAACATAAATGCCTTATAGCTTCAAAATACATTTATAATATTTCTAGTCCTTTATAGTTGTCTTCCACACATAGCAAGCTAATTCAGTAGCTACACTTGCTGCCTCTTGGACCTTATAGCCTTAGACTCAGCAAGTGGAGAAATGACCACTGTTGTACTAGAATGCTCCTCCAAAATGTGAACTCCTTAGGACTATTTTATCTTTTTAAAGCCAAATCAGAGTTTAAAATTTTTTTCAAGTGTTTAAAATTCAGTATCCAAATAAAATCCTGTTTGATGCTGGAAAAACCACTGATCACTCATTTAAGGGCCAGAGGTGGCCTTCTGTAAAATCGTTTATTCAGTCCCCACGTGTGTTACCCAGAGAACGAGCAAAAAGATACTGTGGGATGAAGGAGGGCACTCACTTGGCAGAGGGGACAGGTACAGATGGAAGGACAAGCTCTCCGACCTTGGGGCATGTTCACAGTCAGTGGAGCATGTCTGCTCCCTGGGAATGCAGCCACAATCACTGCAAGGGGCTGGGGGCAGAGGCTAAGCCATAGGGGCTGAAGCTGACCAAAAGTCACTGGTTTAGTGGCCACACCTTCCCCTGGAAGAGGCAAGCCTCCAGAGTTCCAAACTAGATGAGAGCAGATTCTGCTGGTGCAGCTGTTCAGATGGAGACAGATTCCTGCTGCCTCATGCTCCACCTTCTCAGACACCACTCGAGTTTGTTTCTCTCCATATAATCTTTTCCAGCTGTGTGTGTGTGAAATTTTACTTGCCCAAATGCAGTATTATTTAAACACACCTATGTATAAGAAAAACACTACTAGACTGTCCCACACAGGTGAGCTGAGGAAGTGCTCCATGGTCAGCAAGGACTTGCTGAGCAGAGTGCATCCCTCTGAAAGTCACGAAGTAGGGTAATGGGACTCTCATGGTTAAGTGGCATTTAATTTCCCACATTTTACCATGCTTGGGTGTCTTGAGTTGACATGTACCTCACGATTCCCATTGACAGTATCAAAAACACCCCCAGGAGGTGCTTCTGTGGTGCTAGTGTATTGTGGTGTTTTATTAGACATGTAATCTTGGACGGCTGAAGCAGGGAGTGCCCACATTTGATTACTGTAGTGCCTCAGAACACTTTATTCTATAAAATACAATAATTCTTTGCCTTGAAAACAAAAAACTTATTTTCCCTTTTCATTTAACCAAACTGACAGCAAGCAATTCGTAACCTAAAAAAAAAGTGAATATACTTTATTTTGGAAATTTATTTTGGATAAAATAATTGCAGACAGACTACAGTGGTTCATACATTGTAGACAAAGACTAGAAAATAATTTAGGCTGGAGCTTCAATACCCCATAACTCATGTGTACTTATGTCTGCAGGGCAGAGCTGGTAGCCTTCAGGCCATGGTAAGTGGATATGTTTTCTCTGCAAAAAAAGACTGTTCAGGTACACTGAACCACAGATCAGAAGAGAGTAAGATCTTCCCCATCAAAAACAGTCAAATCAATAAATCTCCACTTCTGCAAATCTAAAGCAATCAAAACTCCATTAATGCAGAAACCACTGTCTAACCAAAACATGTAGTATGTACAGTGGTAAGAATTTGCCACACTTGTATAGTTATATAGTTACAAACTTTAGCTATTTCATTATTTGCAGTTCATAGATCAAGCCTCACTTTTGTGAAACCATACCAGACCCAAACAAGAAACAGTTTAGGTTGCAATGGACACTTATCTCCTGTCCTTTTTTCCAGCTTTCCTCTTTCCAGAGAGCAGGTGCTTTGGCTTCATATCAAACACATGCCTGTCTGCCTCCCCCCTCTTCCCCAAGCGATTCATCTTCTTCTGTGCACTCTTCATCATCGTCTTGGCTTTCTTCACCATCTGTAAGGGGGAAGGAAACAATGCATCTGCTAATGAGAACCCGATCTCCATGTGTATTTTCCTTACCCATCTTGGAAGCCAGGTCTGTTCTACAAAAAGACCCAGATTAAGTCTCATTCACAGCAGTCTTCCCTGGACCACCACAGTTATCTGGACAGACTACCCAGTATCTGAGATGCCAGGATGAAAATTCATCTGGACAAGGTTCGTTTGGACCTGGAGGACTGGAGTGCATCTGTTCTAACTCCCTCTTAGACAAACGAAGAAACAGTGGCTTGTGAAACTGTACTACTCACATCTGAATGACAAGTGGCAGTGAAGCATTAAAACCCAGATCTATAAATGGAGACAGCATAGTACACTGCAAAACTCAGGCATGCATAACCTGGACTGCCTGCCAGTTTATATACAGACTCTCCTTTTTCAAAATGCTCAATTTTCATGTTTACTTAATAAAAAGTTTGAGCAAAAAAGTACTATGTACACCAAAGTCTTTCCCAAAAGACTAACCAAAACAGCTCCCTCTGAGCTGGTTCCCTGCCTGGGTTTGTTGTTGGAGAGGGCCCAGGCTTCCAGGTTCTGAGCATGACCTTTAACAGCCACAGGACACCATGCTCCTGTCCACCCCCAGAAGGGATGCCAGTAGGGATTGGTGCCCTAGGGCCAAGGTCCAGGGATACCCAACTGCAGCCCCCAGGGTACAGCACAGCAAACCCACCTGCAGGCCTCGCCCCCCCTTGTGTAACCAACACAGAGGCTACGCTTCTTTAACCACACATCATAGAGACCTACCTTGCCATCCCGGAGCCCTGAGATGTCACGTGGCACTCGAGAGCAGCTGTGGCTCCGGGCTGCTGAACTGGGTGGGACTGAGTCTTCCCGCTTCCTTTTCCTGGTCACACTCCGAGACCTTCTGGCCTGGACTGCATAATGCGCCTGAAAAACAGCAAACCGTCTCTTCAGGATCCTGGCTTCGCTTCCAGGCCTGGTAACAAGCATGAAATTATATGGCAAGGGGAAAGGACACTTAGGGACTTTTAGCACCATCATCAAATGAGCTAGAGATCTTTAAACGTCACAAAGTTAATTTCAACTTATTGGTCAAATAGTGTTTCTCATGTTAACAGCTGCTTTTTGTTACAGCTGATTTTAACTCCGTTTAAAACACTCTACTGAGAGCTTCCCATTCTAGTGTTTTCCCTCACCCTAGATCACTAGACTAGCTTCACAACTTACATTCCAGATGCAGCGGCCCCTCCTTCACACCTCCATCTCGGAGCATCTGTCTACACAGGATGGAATATCGGAAGCCACCCTCAAGAGTAAGCAGTGACACAGGGTCACGTCTGGAACAGTGCTGCAGTCTGCCCTGGGACACGTTAGCTCTGTTCACAGTGGTGGGCACCTCTCACCCTCATCACTAGCCTGGACACAAGGATAACAACTGCCTCAGACAGCACACAGATGTAAGCCCAGCACTTAACAACCAGAAGTCAAGCTGTATCTGTACATTAAAATAATACTCCCTGTAAGGAAGTACTCTCAGACATCACTGACTAAAATCAAATTAGTCCAATCCTTTTGGAAAAGAACTTTAATGCAATGTTAGTCTTTGATTTTGGATATTCCACTTCTGGGATTGTCTTAAAAAAATCATTCCAGAATATAGAAAAGTTCTTTATTTATATAAAGATTTATGTGCTCCAGCATAACTCATCAAGCAGAAAGAGTTGTAATTCTAACAGGTACAAGAAATGCCTTCTAATCTTTGGGCTCCCAGGAAAACTTCTAAGTCCAAGCCTAAATTCCTCTCACATTGAGAGAGAACACAACCTCCTATTTATCTGATAACTCAACTGAAGTTACTTAAAGCACTATAAGAAAGCACTTGTCACCAAAATCAGAGTTCAAGTAAAAAGATTATGTAGGACATAACTTTATCTGCTTTGTTCTTCAATACTCCATTCCAATTTGTATTTTTCCCTAACACAAATTCTTCTATTTTATTATATGAATTTCTTATATGTCACCTTACATTCTTAGAGGTGATAGCAAACAAATTTTTAAATTGCAAGCAATCCAAAAAGCCTAAAATAAACAAACTAAATTTTTTTACTCAATCAAAAATGTGAGAAAATTACCCTAAAATGAAAAATGTTTACGTCACAATGAAAAGTAGATGTGACATGTGTAATGGGATTACAAATATATGTTAAGGAAATAAAGATGAAAGCCCTCTGGTGAGGAAATGAATAAAGAGGCATCTACATGTAAACCTAGTCTGTTTTGTGTACTGGAACCACAAGTGACTTTTTTCCAGTTTTGAGTATTTTCCAAATTTTCCATTAACCTGGAATGGAAGATAATGTATATACACATATAATAATACACTGACAAAAAGCAAAAAAAACAAAGAAGATGCACTAGGCCACCTCACATAACTGCCATTAACTAGAACTGACTATTCCAGGGAACCCGCCCTCCCTCAGGAATGAGGTGTATTTGAGGATGATGGAGTAAGCAAGGTCTTCCCAAATTCTCCTCGAGTCAGGAGAAGAGCTGCACTCAACATGGTCCTGTAAGCCACAAGCCCAGAGTCACCTGAGAGGGAAAAGGACACCATGTGCTCAATGCATTCAATGCTTGACCAGCCACTTCCCTAAAGACCTTGTGCCAATGAAGCTCCTCACCAGAAATACAGCAAGTTCTTGTTTCCTTTTTAATCGACTACTATCCTATAGCTTCTTGAGGCCCTGGTTTTCTAAGACAATGCTGTGCCCAGCTCCATAAGCTCTGAGAGCCCTATACACTCACACTGTCCTTATCATCCATGTCAACTCCAAGAGTGCGCATCTCATTCTCCAACACTTTCCGCTGAACCTGAAAAGGAGGAGAAAACAGTGTTTGTTTTAAGCAAAACTAGCTTGATGAAATGTTAAAAATTCAAGGGAAAAATGTTCCTTTCACAGTGATCTATGATACACTTCCCTTAGAAATAACACGTTTTCCTTGGGTTCATGTTCATGTTTCATTAAATCCCATGAAAATGAACATTTCCTTGGCAATTGCCATGTTTAAGATGTGTGACTTTATGTTCTCAATTCTGCACAACTCTGCAGGGACTGCTCCATGTACATAGGTCACCAAGGCTGAGGTCAGAGGTGAGCCCAAGATACAGACTCCAGAGGCCAACCTCTCCTCCTAAAGTCACTAAGCACCTGGGGTGCCATGACATGTATGCCTGTCAGAAGCCAGTGCTTCGCCATCATATGGAAATTATTCACACAGACAGATGCCCACATCACATGGGAACAATTCACACAGACAGAGGCGTCTGGAATCTCATTATTGCCCTTCTCTCCCATTACACCATAGCTGCTCTGCACATTGCCTCTCCTTGGAGAGCTGACCTGCCCCATCCTCTGCCATGATTTGGAGACAACCACAGCCTCACTGTCACCCTCACAGGAACATGGAGCCGGAGAGAAGGACATTCACAATGATAGAGCTGAGGGCTGCAAGGAATCCCAACACCATGTGACTCATCTGTGCCTAACACCACCACGAGTCCCAGGAGCCAGTATGCCGCCTCTGGAGCTAGGTTAGGTCGTGCTGTGTCTGTAACCTGCAATAGATGAGTTCTGCCTGACGAGAAACTGAAGAACACACTGACTGATGGCTGTACTCTCTACAGTCAAATTATGACCCTATGTGTACAAATGCAAATGCTCAAGCTGAAAGTCACCTTTCAAAAAAGGCCACAACCATCAGAATGTAAACAAGAGACTCAGAGTCATATATCACCAACAAAACCAAGTATGTGCAAACTCACAGCCACATTGGAGTTGAAATGCTGTATTGAGCAATGGCTTTATAGGAACCCAACACACAAAGAGCAACTTGCCTTCTTAGCCGTCCGAGGCATTCTGGGTCCCTGTGTATTCTTCTCTTTGGATTGCAGAATCTTCAGCTTCTTCTTTTCTCTAATTTGTTTTGCCAGCTGTCGGATTTCCACCATTTCTTCATCCTCACTTTCAGACTCACTGTCATACTCCCCAGCAGCTGTTCTTAGCTCCTCTTCTTTTTCTAACTCTTCTAGTTTCTTCAAAAAGTCATAAATTGAACCATAGTGAAAACTCAAAAATAAGTGTAGCAACACTTACATGGGAACTACGTATCCCCTAGCCTTTGGAGATGCACTGAATGGAGGGTCTCCACACAGGGACCTGCTCTGCATGAGCACTGAGCTGACAACACCTCTTCACAGTTCTGTGCCATTTTTTTCATCTTTAAAAGCAACTACTCCAAATACCAGGGTTAAGGATGTGCAGACATCACCTCCCCTGGGATCTCACAGGCCCTCAGCAGGAGCAGGCTATGCGTGATCAGGGAGAAGGATGAGGGCAACCGGTACAAATGAGCCAAAAGCTGTGCTCGCAGCTGGTAGCCACACAAAGAACGGTAAAAATCATTTAACATACGAAACAAACCTGCATGATGTCAGGATCAATGTAATCAGCTATATTATGGCCCTGCCAGATCTCAGGTATCTTATCACATTTTTCAGATGAATTCATTATATCCCAGTATTCTAAAGTTAAAAAAAAATTACATTCATAAATACTTTGTACTGTGTCCAAATACCATGTCCCCACAATGAGTTATATAATTTAGGCATGTCAGTCTGAAAAGATTACAGAGCATTTGTGTTCCACACAACATAAACTGACAAAGATGCTTATGCGAGAATCACTCCAAACCCTTGCCAGGTCTTCCAGTGTCTTGAGACTAAGTGACTAGAGAAGGAAAGCAAACCTAAGGTGGAACGCAAAGGCACAGACAGGCGGTTGTTAACACTATCAACACAGTTTAGCATTTATATGCTACGGAAACTACAAGGGTAGTCCCATGACCTAAAGTCATAGAAAACACCACTGAAGGAAGAACTTGCAGAGCCCATTAGCATGCAACCTTACGTATTTAAAATTAAACTGACGACCTCACTGAAGGCCTTCAGCATGGCTCTAAAGCCCTTGTACACATGTGGGCATCCAGGAACCCCCAGGACACTACAGCCCTTACTCTGAAGATCCAAAATGTAGTCATCTCCCAGCTCCAGTTCAAGGTCTCGTTCCTGCAACAGCAAAGCAGAACTGTTAATCAGCTGCTTGACCTTCACTCCACAAGTGTTGAGGTCCCAGAAATGCTCCTCTCCCTATGCAGAGGCATGAATTTCAGCTCTTACTTCTGGCAGGGAAGCTAGCAGAGCATCTGTTGGACATCTCACATCTGAACAGTACTCCCTGCCAAACCCCACCTACCAGGGCGAGTGACAGTAACCTACCCTCTTCCTCTCATGCTCCCCAGTTTCCATTCTCTTCCTGCGTGCCACAACTCCTTCTGGGATGAAAGGGGGCCTCTCCTGAGAAGACAATGTTGGAAATATTTAGGGGAAACACTTTGCTGAACGTGAAACAAACATGAAAACTGGAGACAAGTTCTCCATCTGCAAAGGAAACACAAAGCACTACCCAGATCAATCAAGCCACAGGTGACTTGGCGGAAGAGGGGAGGTGCAGGGAAGCCGGGAAGACCCAATAAGCTGATCCAAAACTTATTTAGAAAAAATAAACATTAAGATCATCAAGAAAAATTATGGACAAAGAAAGCAATACAGGAGAAATAAAGACTGATGAATGAGTGAATTTACAAATTCACTCAAGAATGTATGAGAATTCAATAGAAAGACAAACTATTCAATGACCAGTTCTGAGATGATAGCCAGTTGAAAACATAGATGGCAACTGACTCCATCTGATTCCTAAAAACAAAACAAATCCAACACTAAATGAGGCATTCCATTCAAAACAGGTAAAATATTAACCACCCTACAGAAGAAAAGGTACATCTTAAAGAATGTTTTTGGCTCTCTTATGCATGACACAAAACCCAGCAGCTGTAAAAGGAATATTAATATACACTAGTAGCTTAAAAATGTGTAATTTTTTTTTTGAGAGGGCATCTCTCATATTTATTGATAAATTGGTTGTTAACAATAAAATTCTGTATAGGGGAGTCAATGCTCAATGCACAATCATTAATCCATCTCAAGCCTAATTCTCGTCAGTCTCCAATCTTCTGAAGCATAACAAACAAGTTCTTATATGGTGAACGAATTCTTACACAGTGAATAAGTTCTTACATGGTGAACAGTACAAGGGTAGTCATCACAGAAACTTTCAGTTTTGATCACGCATTATGAACTATAAACAATCAGGACAAATATGAATATTCGTTTGATTTTTATACTTGATTTATATGTGGATCCCACATTTCTCCCTTTATTATTATTATTTTTATATTTAATAAAATGCTGAAGTGGTAGGTAGATGCAAGATAAAGGTAGAAAACATAGTTTAGTGTTGTAAGAGGGCAAATGTAGATGATCAGATGATCAGGTGTGTGCCTATGGACTAAGTATTAATCCAGGCTAGACAAGGGCAGCAAGACATCCACGGATGCAGAAGATTTCTCTCAAAGCAGGGGGGGTGAGGTTCTGAGCCTCACCTCTGTTGATCCCCAAATTCTCACCTGATGGCCCCCCTGCGACTGTGCCTGTCTTAGGTTGTTCCTCCCTTGAGGAATCTTACCCGTCTCTGGCTAACCAGTCATCTTCCGGGGCCATACAGGGAAATGTAAAGTTGGTAAGTGAGAGAGAAGCCATATTGTTTGCAAAGGTTAGCTTTTTACTTCTTTGCAGATTTATGCCCTGTGGCTTCTATGCCCAGCACTTGTCTCGAGGTATCTTTACCACCTGGAGGAATTATGATACTCGGTAAATTCGATATGAGGCACGAATTCTATTTAAGGTTTGTAATTAGGAAGGAAGAAGAAAAGCTATAGATGTAGCATATGAAGGAAACTTGGGAGGATTGATTATTTCTTTGACATATCTTCTTGTATAGTACCTTAAGTATGTATAGGTTTTAAACTACTAACTAATTTGCACACACATATTAACATAATAGGAATACGGTGACATAAACAAAGCAAATCTATAATTACCAGCCATCTCCAGTGAAGCCAAGAAAACCATTTAGGCACCCTAGGCATTTGTGAAAATTTATCTATGATATGATGGATATTTTCCAACTGTACTTGAACCATCAGACAAATTAAAGCAGCCCATTTCTGGGATCTGTTCACATCCCATATGTTCTTTTAACCATAGATAGTCTATAGTCATGAGATTTTGGGGTGCTACAACTTGCACCCCTCCCAACTCCTGGTTGAGTTCCAACAGTACAGATCCAGTCAAATTCGTTGTCTCACTGTATGCACATGCCAGCCTAGACATCTCCCTCCTCCTTCTTATGGCAAGTCCAGGAGATGGTGGGCTGGATGCAGCCACAACCGCAGCATCGTCCGGATCCCTGTGGAGGCTTTTTGATGATCATCCCCCGGCACGAGTCCTCCAGAGAGTGCTGATGCCGGAAGCTCCTCCTCATATCGTATCTTAGTTCATTTTCTGGGTATCCAAGCTAGGCCTTGATCTTCTGCGTAGAAACAAACAGACCCTTTGCCCACACTTTGACATGCCCTCTATACCACTGTGCAGAACTCATTGGAGGTCAGCACACAGTAACTTTTTTTTTTTTTTTTTTTAATTAAGAGAAAGGAATATTATCAGAAAAGAGTACCTCCATAGCTGATCATCTGACACCCTTTAAGTGATCAACATTAAGGATATTTAAAGCATGCGTTGATCTTTGATTTACCAATAGTTTTATCCTGTTAAGGAGTAATCCCCCTTTTCTTTCTTTTTTTTTTTTTTTTTTTTTTTAAATTTTTAATCTACACTTACCTGAAGAATACTATGTTTACTATGCTCTCCCCTATATCAGGTCCCCCCTAACAACCACATTACGGTTACTGTCCATCAGCTTAGCAAAATGTTGTAGAGTCACTACTTGTCCTCTCTGTGTTGTGCAGCCCACCCTCCCCTTTCTCCCTCCCCCCCATGCATGCTAATCTTAATACCCCCCTTCTTCTTCCCCCCCCTTATCCCTCCCTGCCCACCCATCCTCCCCAGTTCCTTTCCCTTTGGTACCTGTTAGTCCATTTTTGGGTTCTGTAATTCTGCTGCTGTTTTGTTCCTTCAGTTTTTCCTTTGTTCCTATACTCCTCAGATGAGTGAAATCATTTGGTATTTCTCTTTCTCCGCTTGGCTTATTTCACTGAGCATAATACTCTCCAGCTCCATCCATGTTGCTGCAAATGGTTGGATTTTTCCACTTCTTATGGCTGAGTAGTATTCCATTGTGTATATGTACCACATCTTCTTTATCCATTCATCTACAGATGGACATTTAGGTTGCTTCCAATTCTTGGCTATTGTAAATAGTGCTGCGATAAACATAGGAGTGCATCTGTCTTTCTCAAACTTGATTGCTGCGTTCTTAGGGTAAATTCCTAGGAGTGGAATTCCTGGGTCAAATGGTAGGTCTGTTTTGAGCATTTTGATGCACCTCCATACTGCTTTCCACAATGGTTGAACTAATTTACATTCCCACCAGCAGTGTAGGAGGGTTCCCCTTTCTCCACAGCCTCGCCAACATTTGTTGTTGTTTGTCTTTTGGATGGCAGCTATCCTTACTGGTGTGAGGTGATACCTCATTGTAGTTTTAATTTGCATTTCTCTGATAATTAGCGATGTGGAGCATCTTTTCATGTGTCTCTTGGCCATCTGTATTTCTTTTTTGGAGAACTGTCTGTTCAGTTCCTCTGCCCATTTTTTAATTGGGTTATTTGTTTTTTGTTTGTTGAGGCGTGTGAGCTCTTTATATATTCTGGACGTCAAGCCTTTATCAGATCTGTCATTTTCAAATATATTCTCCCATACTGTAGGGTTCCTTTTTGTTCTATTGATGGTGTCTTTCGCTGTACAGAAGCTTTTCAGCTTAATGTAGTCCCACTTGCTCATTTTTGCTGTTGTTTTCCTTGCCCGGGGAGATATGTTCAAGAAGAGATCACTCATGTTTATGTCTAAGAGGTTTTTGCCTATGTTTTTTTCCAAGAGTTTAATGGTTTCATGACTTACATTCAGGTCTTTGATCCATTTTGAGTTTACCTTTGTATATGGGGTTAGACAATGGTCCAGTTTCATTCTCCTACATGTAGCTGTCCAGTTTTGCCAGCACCATCTGTTGAAGAGACTGTCATTTTGCCATTGTATGTCCATGGCTCCTTTATCAAATATTAATTGACCATATATGTTTGGGTTAATTTCTGGGGTCTCTAATCTGTTCCACTGGTCTGTGGCTCTGTTCTTGTGCCAGTACCAAATTGTCTTGATTACTATGGCTTTGTAGTAGAGCTTGAAGTTGGGGAGTGAGATCCCCCCTACTTTATTCTTCTTTTTCAGGATTGCTTTGGCTATTCGGGGTCTTTGGTGTTTCCATATGAATTTTTGAATTATTTGTTCCAATTCATTGAAGAATGTTGCTGGTAATTTGAGAGGGATTGCATCAAATTTGTATATTGCTTTCGGCAGGATGGCCATTTTGACGATATTAATTCTTCCTAGCCATGAGCATGGGATGAGTTTCCATTTATTAGTGTCCCCTTTAATTTCTCTTAAGAGTGACTTGTAGTTTTCAGAGTATAAGTCTTTCACTTCCTTGGTTAGGTTTATTCCTAGGTATTTTATTCTTTTTGATGCAATGGTGAATGGAATTGTTTTCCTGATTTCTCTTTCTATTGATTCGTTGTTAGTGTATAGGAAAGCTACAGATTTCTGTGTGTTAATTTTGTATCCTGCAACTTTGCTGTATTCCGATATCAGTTCTAGTAGTTTTGGAGTGGAGTCTTTAGGGTTTTTTATGTACAGTATCATATCATCTGCAAATAGTGACAGTTTAACTTCTTCTTTACCAATCTGGATTCCTTGTATTTCTTTGTTTTGTCTGATTGCCGTGGCTAGGACCTCCAGTACTATGTTAAATAACAGTGGGGAGAGTGGGCATCCCTGTCTGGTTCCCGATCTCAGTGGAAATGCTTTCAGCTTCTCGCTGTTCAGTATAATGCTGGCTGTGGGTTTATCATATATGGCCTTTATTATGTTGAGGTACTTGCCCTCTATTCCCATTTTGCTGAGAGTTTTTATCATGAATGGATGTTGAATTTTGTCAAATGCTTTTTCAGCATCTATGGAGATGATCATGTGGTTTTTGTCTTTCTTTTTGTTGATGTGGTGGATGATGTTGATGGATTTTCGAATGTTGTACCATCCTTGCATCCCTGGGATGAACCCCACTTGGTCATGGTGTATGATCCTTTTGATATACTGTTGAATTCTGTTTGCTAATATTTTATTGAGTATTTTTGCATCTACATTCATCAGGGATATTGGTCTGTAATTTT